CGCCCGCCACAATGCCTGGCTGTTTTTTTTTTTGTTGCAGATTGGCCAGGGCCGGGTTCAGGCCTGCCACCCTCAGTATATGGGGCTGGCACCCTACTCACTGAGCCACAGGCGCCACCCTGGTCTTATTCTGTTGCCCAGGCTGTTTTCAAACTCCTAGTGGGCTCATGGGATCCTCCTGGTTAAGCTTCCAGAGTAGCTGGAATTACAGGTGTGCACCACTGTGCCAGGCTTAGAAATTTTGAAATGTACAGCACATTATTATTTTCTGTATTCACCACACTGTACAATGTTTCTCAAAGGAAAAATCCCCTATTCCTCCTAAGACTTTGTACCTTTTGACTATTATTTTTCCATTTTCCCACCCTCCCAGCTTCTGGTAACTACCATTCTTCTCTCTGCTCCTTTCTGTTCAATTGTCTCAGATTGTACATACAGTAAGAACACAGGTATTTGTCCTTCTGAGTGTGGCTTATGTAACTTAGCATAATGTTTTCTAATTCCTTTCATGCTGTCCCAAATGACAGGGTTTCCTTAAGGCTGACTAATATTCCCCTATGTAGACATATCACATTTTCTTTATCTTATTGTCCATTGATAGACACTTACGTTGATTCCTTAACTCTTGTGAATAGCGATGTAGTGAACGTGGGAAGGCGGATGTCTCTTCAAACTTTGTTGACATCTTTGTAAAAAGATTTCAGAAATCTTTTGAGTAAATACCTAGAAGTGAGATCCACTGATGGTGTTTTGTTTTGTTTTTGAGACAGAGTCTTACTATGTTGCCCTCGGTAGAGTGCTATCATTTCACAGCTCAAAGCAACCTCAAACTCTTAGGCTTACGCGATTCTCTTGCCTCAGCCTCCCAGGTAGCTGGGACTACAGGCACCTGCCACAACACCCAGCCATTTCTTTTTTCTTGCAGTTGTCCTTGTTGTTTAGCTGTCCGGGGCTGGGTTGGAACCTGCCAGCCAAGGTGCATGTGGCCAGCGCCCTAACCTCTGTGCTATGGGCGCCAAGCCACTACTGATGGTTTCTTGACTACTATTTTTCTAAACTACTACCTATTTTTCTCTGTGATAAAGACAACATTTGGCTAATGAACAAGGTGGTGAGGTCATCAAGTGAGTCAGAGGTGCAGCTCTGGGAAACAGAAGAGGATGACATGACAGAAGGTGACTTGGGGTATGGCCTTGGCAGAAGACCTGGCGCCATCTATGAAGTTTCGGAACTGTCACAATTATTTACATCTAGAAAAAGATCAGATGGAAAGAACTTTAGCCCTCCACCATTTCCAAGAAAAGAGGAAGAAAGAAGTGGAGGTATTTTTCAATATTCCAAGCATAAGAACTTACAAGAGACATGCTCTCAGGGGGCCAGAATCCCCAGCTACAGAAGACAAAATAGCACTGGTAAGAATGTCGAATCTCCTCACCTTTCTTTCTCCTGTGAATTTTATCCTGAAAATAGGTAACCATAGTGGATTTTATGAAATGAAAAGGAAACTTTTAGGAAGCTCAGTTTAATTTCTTATTGATTCTATTGATGAGAGAATAAATTTACAGGAGGCTTCTAGTAATTCTCCTTGGAAAGAAATTAAATATAGTTTATTTCTTAGATGTGCTTATTAGTACATTGATCAAGCTGAAAGCTAAACACCAGAATCTGTTTATTTTAGTCACCATTTGTGTTTTTCTATTTTGTGTTCAAATGTAATAATTAGCCAATTCATTAACATCAGTTTTATTTTTGTAGTCGTTTCTAAAGGTCTTTTTCTTCAAATGTGGTATATGTCTTTTCATTTGTAAAATGCTTTAAGCTACATTTTTTTTCCCCCGAAACAGTTTTATTTTCTCACCTTCCGTAGAGTGCTGATCCTCTTGCCTCAGCTTCCTGAGTAGCTGGGACTATAGGCATCTGCCACAATGCCTTGCTATTTTTAGAGATGAGGTCTTACTCTTTCTCTGGCTGGTCTCAGTCTCGTGCCTTGCCCTCTCAGTAACCTACATATTTTTATCATTATTTGGACTACTATAATTCTTTTTTCCCAGTTTAGGGAAAACTTATTTTTATTTTTTAATTTTTTTTTTAAGACAGAGCCTTAAGCTGTTGCCCTGAGTAGAGTGCTGTGGTATCATAGCTCACAGTAACCTCCAACTCCTGGGCTCAAGCGATTCTCCTGCCTCCGCCTCCCAAGTAGCTGGGACTACAGGCGCCTGCCACAA